TTATTATTATTATTATTATTATAAAAAAAAACTTTTTTGTAAAAATTAAAACAATTTATAATTAATTAAATAAATTCATTTATTATTATTGATCTGATCGATCATCTTGATAAAATTAAATTAGCCGAACGACATTAATAAATATTCCATTGATGGGGTAATCAATTAATTATGTTATGTTCAATCAATGTTAACCTTTTTAAGTTGTTATCAAGGTTTACTATGAACCAATTAATATTAATATATACTTATATAACGACTGTGACCATTTCGTACGCAAAAAGTATTTAGATTTAAAAATTTCAAAAAAAAAAAAAATAACCGTCAAAAACAAAAATGAGGTGGTTACTTTTTTGGAGAGTAAATAAATTCAAAAAAAACCAGTTTTTAATGCGTTGCCGATCATTCTCGTTTAAGGGATAATGACTACATTGTACTTTCTTTTACGTTTTTTTTATTCCAAATAATAAATGCTTTATCATAGCCAAAATCTTTGCTTTCTGGTCTTTCAATACTAAGTCTCGTAATAGTAAGCTTTTGTGTTAAGAGAATTACATAATTTTGATTGATTAAATTTTGTACACTAAACAATCCATATTTGATAATGAAATACTATGAATAATTTAATTAATTTAACAATGTTCGGAAAAACATTAATAATTAATGGTTGCATATTTTTTTTTCAAAATAATAAATATAATTAATTGCAACAATTGTTTTGGGAATCTTGCGCCCTGGTTCATTCATTTTAATATTATCACATAGTGATACGATCCGCTATGCGAACAATCTAATAATGTTACTATTACTATTATATAAATTTAGTTTAATATTATTTAGAGATGAGACAGTACTCAAAATATTTTCACAAGTTAGTTTAAAAGCAAATGATTTTTTAAAAACCCGATTGGCATGAGAACAACTTTCACTTAGTTGCAATGCTTGCCCACTTATGGTCTTTGATCATTTCAAAGAACTATTTTTATATTCGAAAAACTATGCTTGAGTATTTTTGAGCATATGGAGGACTTCGAGTTTCAATATTTACAGATTTTATACAAGGATCAGTAATTATTATCTTGATTATAATCTCAACAATTGGTTTTGGCACATCAGTGAAAATTGATCAAGAGTTGAAGGACAGTAGTGATTTGCTCAAGTCAAATTCTTTGGGTTGGCAATTACTTTACATCATGCCTGTTGCTGTTTCTTTTGCCAATTTATTTCATCAGGTAAATCTTATATATATATAATTTTGGCTTGGTTAGTCAGTCGGTTTGGTGATTTGGATTGGTGGTTGGATGAATCATATTATTTCATTTAATCTATCGCCTACTCAATCAATTGATATATTCATTCCACTAAAATAACAATCACCCTATCAGCAACCAATTAATTAATCAATCAATCGATTTAATTATAGGGATTTTGGCAAAGGACCTTCTCATCCAAGAATGATAAAGAATTAAAATTATCAGTTTTGTATGGTAGTCTAATCTTATTTCCAGTATTGATCATTATTGGGGAAAAATTTTCTAGAACATTGTTTGTTACACATCCCGATTTAGCAAAATTCCTGACTGATATCATGCAAGTCTCTTGCAGATGTTCCTGCAGGAAAGCCAGAGAGTTTAATACTGTAAATTCTTCTATTATTCCTCTGTTCTTCATCTAACGTCAGAGGAATAACACGAGTAGAGTCTTTGAGAATGTATACAGACCATGTTTTTGTGTGAAATTCTTGTATGTTTTGGCTTTCTGCAAAAGTAATAAAAGCATGTTGATATAAACCACGTGTTTGCACTGATAATTTGACAATAGTCCCAAATCTAGAAAATGTTGAACGAATAATAGGGGTTTTGATATCCAATGGAATATCACACACCTGAATTGTGCATGCATTAATTTCATTAATTTGTTCGTTGGTTGGTTTGATTCTAATTGTGTTGATTTCAACAAATTGATAACTTTCATTTTCAGAAATTTGAATTGGTGTTCCAATTGCTAAATTGAGATCAGTTTGGTTATCAAAAAAAATTGCTATGTATTTTTTTTTGTTGATGGTTCGAGTAGAGGCTCCAGTATAACCTGCAGTTTTAGCAAAAATTATCCCTATATTGATGATTTTTTCACGAGGGTGTTTACCTTTAATTTTTTCCAAAGGAGCCACTGCTATGTATGTAGTCTGTTTTGTGATAACAATAAAATCTCTATCATTATTTCCCATACTTTCATTCATATCAACATCTTCAATTAAAATGTTTTTATTATCATTGATTGTATTAATAGATTCTATTTCTTCTATTTCTTTGTTAGTTTCTGATTGAGATGTATTTTTTTGTTCATTTTCTTGAGAATGCCCTTCTAATTTTTGTTTTTTTTCAGGATTTTGTATAATTTTTTTTCTTTTTTTCCCACCTGAAGATTTTGTCACTCTTGTCATTTTTTCTATTTTTTATTTTATTATAATTTATTGTATTTTATTGTTTAAGTCACCTTTTAACTGTGTATTGACTTGGTTTTACTAACAAAATATTTAATTTATATATATATATATTATTATAATAAACTTTTTTGTCGCATTAAAATCTTTACTTTTTAGAAATTTTCTTTGGTTCAGATATTTTATATATATTATTATAAATAGGAAAACTCTATTAACGCGACCTCGAAATCTGGTTTGTGGATTTTTTCTGTTTAGGTAATGATTTACACTCAATATTAACCTGAATTATAGTGTTGCGGTCACCTTCGCCGTGTAAAAAAGAAGTCCTATTATAATATGACGAGCATTACTAAAAGAGTTTTACTTGCCAATAGTTTGAAACACACAAATAAATATATTTACCTGATACAGAATGTTGAAAGCTTGCGTTAAATTTTCCATTATGACTTTTATACTTACACAATGTATTATTTAACAACTCTTTTTGCCTAATGGTACTTGTCCATTCATCATTCAACATAACTACCATTGGCTAATAGAATACCACTATAGGGAAGCATAATAATTTCATTCCTTCTTTTCCAGTATGCCGACTCATTTACACTAAATTGTTACCGGTCGCATTTACTTCGTCGAAAATTATTTCGTCGACACCCATTTCGTCGACACCCATTTCGTCGAAAGTTCATTTCGTCGAATGTTCGTTTCGTCGAATGTTCATTTTGTCGAAAGTTTGTTTCATCGAATGTTCATTTCGTCAAAAATTATTCATCCTCGAGCCAGAGACCGAAAGAGTTAGATGTGAGGAGTATGGGAAACTAGTTAAGAAATTAGATGAGGAAAGCGGAGTGTGTGGGAGAAATTTGTTTAATTAAATTTTTTTTTTTGTGACGAAATATTTTTCGATGAAATGAACTTTCGACGAAATGAATCAGACCCTTGGGAACCTGCTAAACATTTAAAGAATGCGGAAAGAAAAGTTAAAGAATTTGAATTGACGAGGACGTCAAAACTTAGGGAGGGGAGAATGTAACAATTTAAACGATTATTGATTGATAATAAATAGACTAGCTTATTTATATTTTCATCTATTTATATTTTATCAATCTGTGTAATCTTAATAATATATATAATGAACATTTTCTAAAATAATAAAAAAAATAATTATTTTCTCACACAATTAAAAAGTATTTGTTCGTAAGAGTATTTTAAATTAATTTTTAAAAAGTAATTCTTACAAAAATAACTAAAGTAATGTTTTATTCTAGCGTCAATTGGACGAAAAAGAGCAAAATAAAGCTATAATTCGAGAGAATATTAATTTTATATTGGGCAAATGTGTAAGTAATTATATTAGATTTTTTTGGGGTCTCATATATTAACATTGTCGGATTTTCTAATAAAAATTAATTATTTTAGAGTACTAAGATACAAGGCGAATGCTCGGAAGATAGCTTAAGTGTATATACCGAGGTAGTTAACATTTTACAACGTTTAGATTTGGGAACCATTGAAGTAAAAACTCCTATAGCATCGGGAGTGATTGATCTTACGGGGAGCGAAGATCCATTTGTGAAGCTATTATCTTTTGGAGCAAAACAAATTTTATCGAGACATTCATTCCATACTACCAAATTACCCAACCAAATTAGTACAATGTTAAATGAATTCGTAAGCTCATATAGTGATTTTAGAATCGATTTCGATCCCGCATTAATGCAACCTATAAGTTTCCCCCAGGGAGAAGTGTCGCTCGAAACTAGACGCATTTTAATGACTACTTTCGATTTATTAGAAGGATTGTAAGTTAATAACGAAACTTCGAACATTTTCATATCATTAACAATCTACTGAATATTTTAAATTCTAGGCGCCATATTTGGAGTTGTAGACCATTACTAACAGAAGATGATTATAGCGAGAATGCTTATGTAAGAGCGGATCGAAAGTACTGGATCCGCTCTTACATATTCTAAATGGCATCTAAAACGTGCATGGTCCGAACAAATGAGTAAATCTTCACAAAGCAGAAAAAATCGAATGGGATCTATTAATTTAGGGAAAACCCCGATCTTCAAATTTTATTGAAAATTGGACATGAAGGAAAATGAGCTAGTTCTAGTAGAGATTTCGCGATTATTTCTCAAACAGGATAAAGAAAGATTGTTTCGATGAACGATATAATATTTTTTTCGAAAAGAAGGATGGTACTTCTTCCAGAGCAAGAATAATACGCCACGAATTGGGAAAAATCCCTATCTTAGGGATTCAAGTGATAGGAGAACGCATATTCGTTTCCGTGTTAGATCTATTCGAAGGTGCTTTTTACCGGGTTTATCGAATTTGTGAGATTATTATACCTTTACGAATTTCCTCACGCCAAATTGTTGAAGAATTTTTGAAGAGTGCTCTAGAACTAAGAACCTTAGTTGAAAAAATTGCTGGAATGTTATTTTATTAATGATTTATTTATACTTCTGACTTTATATTGATTAAAGTTAAATAATAAATAAACCGTATAAATTGTCTCTATCACTCATTTCGATCAAACCCGTCTATATAATTATTGAATAATTGATAAACATTCGTTTTACAAGCTTGATTAACACGCATTTCGATCAAAGTCGCCTATATAATTATTGAATAATTGATAAACATTCGTTGCATATTTACTAACACTTGCTTCGATCAACCCCGCCTATATATTTATTGAATAATTGATAAACATCCGTTTTGCAAACTTCATAGATCTTGACTTTGACATTTGCTTCGATCAAACCCGCCTATAATTGATAAACATTCGTTTTGCAAACTTCATAGATCTTGACTTTGACATTTGCTTCGATCAAACCCGCCTATATAATTATTGAATAATTGATAGTAAAAAAACGTTGATAAATGTATTATACAAACAGCTTTGTAGATCTCGACTACTTTAATACTTACTTCGATCAGACCCGCCTATACAATTATTTGAATAATTTATAGTAATAAAACGTTGATAAATATATTATACAAACAGCTTCGTAGATCTCGACTCTTTAATACTCACTTCGATCAAACCCGCCTATACAATTATTTGAATAATTGATAGTAATAAAACGTTGATAAATATATTATACAAATAGCTTCGTAGATCTCGACTACTTTAATATTTACTTCGCCTATGTAATTATTGAATAATTGATAATAATAAAACATTGATAAATATATTTTACAAGCAGCTTCATAGATCTCGACTACTACAATACTTACTTCGATCAAACTCGTCTATATAATTATTGAATATTTGATAATAATAAAACGTTAATTAAATACATTTTACAAACAGCTTCATAGATCTCGACTTTAAGACTTACTTTAATCAAACCCGCCTATAATAATAAACGTTCGTTTTGGAAACTTGATTTGCAAGTAGATCTTGACTTTGACACTGACTTCAATCAAGCTTACCTATATAATTATTTGAATAAATGATAAAGCGCTCATTAAATATACTTTACAAACAGTTTCATAGATCTTGACTTTAGCACTTACTTCGATACAAGCTATTCAATAATTGATGAAGCGTTCATTTGCAGAATTTAATAATTAATAAGCGTTCATCGGTATATTTTATAAACGGCTTCATATGTTGTCATTCATCTTGTATTTAGCAGTCTACTTTTTCTGTTGAATTTTATTTTTTTTAGATTACACAATAAAAATCATGGAATAAATTTAATCCAATGAAATGGTTGATAATCCCATATTTTGCACAACTTGAAAAAAGTTAATATATAAGTCATAGAATTAGTTTAATAGTATCGACCAGGGAAAAGTCATGCAATGATGAAGTACCGAATATGGTCTCCTGTGTCCGGCTCCCTTAGGTGCAATGCCTCACTTTGGACCGGCTGTAAAGTCCCGCGTGCTAGGAAGGTGGAACTGACGCGGGTGGCTCATGTTGGGTGTATTGACCCCTCGTGACATGACCCTTCCTTTTGTTAATTTTTATTATTTATTTTAGTTAAAAGGAAACATTTAAAAAATTAAAAAAAAGAAGATAAAAATTCGCTAATTGATTTGATTGGTTGTAATATACGAAGATCCATCAAATATTATAATTAGTAGCAACGAATCATCGTTTGCTGAGGATGATAAGATCCAGTTTGTATAGGAGTGATCGAAGTAAGCGCTAAGACAAGATTTATAAGCTTTCAAAATATTCTAACGAACGTTTTATCAATTATTCAATAGTTTGTACATGCATTAAGGACAAGATCTATGAACAAAATATTCTAACGAACGTTTTATCAAATATTCAATAGTTTGTATAAGTAAGTTTTAAGGATAAGATCTATGAAGCTTACAAAATATTCTAACGAACGTTTTATTAATTATTCAATAGTTGTATAGAAGTGATCGAAGTAAGTTTTAAGGACAAGATATATGAACAAAATATCCTAACGAACGTTTTGTCAATCATTAAATAGTTTATGTAGATGTAATCGAAGTAAGTTTTAAGGACAAGATCTATGAATAAAATATTTTAACAAACGTTTTATTAATTATTCAATAGTTGTATAGGAGTGATCGAATTAAGTGTTAAGGACAAGATCTATTAACAAAATATTCTAACGAACGTTTTACCAATTATTCAATAGTTGTATAGAAGTGATCGAAGTAAGTTTTAAGGACAAGATCTATGAACAAAATATTCTAACGAACGTTTTATTAATTATTTAATAGTTTGTATAGGAGTAATCGAAGTAAGTTTTAAAAACAAGATCTATGAACAAATTATTCTAACGAACGTTTTACCAATTATTCAATAGTTGTATAGAAGTGATCGAAGTAAGCGTTAAGGACAAGATCTATGAACAAAATATTCTAATAAACGTTTTATTAATTATTCAATATTTTGTGTAGGAGTAATCGAAGTAAGTTTTAAGAACAAGATCTATGAACAAATTATTCTAACGAACGTTTTATTAATTATTCAATATTTTGTGTAGGAGTAATCGAAGTAAGTTTTAAGGACAAGATCTATGAACAAAATATTCTAACGAACGTTTTATCAATCATTAAATAGTTTATGTAGGAGTAATCGAAGTAAGTTTTAAGGACAAGATCTATGAACAAAATATTCTAACGAACGTTTTATCAATTATTCAATAGTTTGTACAAGTGTTAAGGTCAAGATCTATGAACAAAATATTCTAACGAACGTTTTACTAATTATTCATAATTTGTGTAGGAGTAATAGAAGTAAGTTTTAAGGACAAGATCTATGAACAAAATATTCTAACGAACATTTTATTCATTATTCAATAGTTTTATGTAGGAGTAATCGAAGTAAGCTTTAAGGACAAGATCTATGAACAAAATATACTAACGAGCGTTTTATCAATCATTCAATAGTTTATATAAATTTCTCTTTTATTTTAACTTATATTTAATAACATCGCTATAATCATTATTGTTGTTGTTTATTGTTCTAATCATCATTTACATATGTACATAGGAATAAATGTAAAAGAAAAATTAATATATTTATTTAACACTTGACGATCTTCAAAAATCATATGATTGTAAAATTTTTATTGACTTGCACCATACCTTCGAAATTACCTTTTAACAATAAACCAAATGTCGAAGAAAATAGTCTAATAAATTAAATTGTGCTACTTGAAAGATGTATTTAAAGGGTTGGTTTTCGACTTGGTCTAAGGACAACTCTCTTTCTAACTCTTCTCTTGACCATATTTCTTGATATAACTTCGAAACTACCCCGATATAACATAATAATAACAATCAGATAATTCTTATTGTAATAGAAACCCTACTGTGACCATTTGCTAATAGAAAAAAAATTTACTATTATTATTATCATCACTACAACTATTATTAAGATGTCAATTACTTTTACTACTATTATTATTATTATCACTAGGAGGACTATGAAGGAAAATGGAATTGATAAAGAATTAATTATTCATTTTATCCAAATTTGCCATTAAAATTTTCACGTGATTAAATTGGCCGATTTCCTTTACACCAATAAAAATAATGAATTTTATTTGTGCTTCACTTTTTAAAAGCATTGTTTCAATTGGCTCTCTGAATATTTCGAGTATCTCTTAGTTTAGAGGCAGCAAATAAGCAGGGCAAAATACTAACAGATGGTTCTAATGTTTTAGCCATTATAGATCAAAAAAAAAGTAGACTAACTCCTTGTAGATAAACATCTCTAATTTTAAAAGGACATTTATACATTGAGCAAATCAATGGTTCAAGAAAAAAGCTTGGTGGACTAAGAAAGTATATGTTTAGAAGTATTATCATAATAGGATTTTTTTTTTAACAAAACCTATTTTTCAAAGGTGTAAAGCATCATGCTAAAAATGTCAACTCATCGCTCATCGCAAAGCAACAAAGAGCTATATTCTATGTGGTGCACGAATTTGATTTAGCAGGGTACAGTAAGGAAATGAAGAAGTGAAGCAAATGAATCATTATCAAAAAAAAAATATCACTTGAAACTTACCTTAAGTTTTGTATGACAAAGGAACCTTGATAGAAAATCGAAGCCTACGAAATGCCCATCAACCCTCACGCAGTTGTACAGGAAGAATTGAGTTATATGATGGAAACTGAAATCGACAACTATTGTAAGTTCTAGGAGAAGTAGACATCATCAAGGGCTTAAGAAGTATGATATTAGTGTCTGATTGAAGAATCATCAACAGCCTTCATCCTCACAGAAGTCAACTCATCAGGAAACCCGCACCCAACCTTAGTTGTGGAAATTGGCAATACAGAAAGTGTAAACAGTTTGCGTGATAATAATCTGGTAGCAGGATATTTTTTTCCACGTACTATTATTCAAATTTATTTGGCCGTCAAGTTATTTTCTCTTCATCAGGATGGTTCTGTTTCATTGTTTGCACCGCTTTACTTATGTAACAATCCAAATCCAATGATGCCCATAATCATAAAGTCTTTGAAACAGCACCTCATCTGAAACTATCTTCAAAAATACTATACATGTATGTTCCAGCTAACACAATTACTGGCGTCAGATTTGGGGTAGTTTCTTGCAATGGTGCTAATCTTCAAGACCATCAAATAGCTATCCTCACCATCTTACTTTTTGACAGTGTTCTAGCAGCGTTCTTCACGGAATACCTAATAACTTTAACATAGATTTATGGAATTTGCAAGATGCAATTTTGAGTGGTTAGGTGTGAAAACCAACAATTCACCAATGATAATAAAAAAGTAATCTTTTCTTCATTTTAAGTCTCAAATTTTTTTTTTTCAAAAATTTTCAATAATAATAATGGGATTCATCTTTACTACCGTTTCCTTTATTATGACACCTATGCTTTGACTGAGATATATGATGGCAACAAATTTGTCAACCAGTTTTAGCCATTAATGTATTTTGAATATTCAAAAATGAATGAAAACATTAATTTTAAAAGACTACTCATGAAGGTAAGCATTTTTTTTTTCATTAAATAATAATATTTTTATTGTATTCATCAAGAAAAATAAATTACATTAATTAGTGCTAGCACTAGCAATTTCAACTACTGGTTTTTTGTGATAAGAACTAAATCCACATATCCATTGTTGGAGAGAAGGAATACTATCTTCGTTGTTGTTTTTAACTCAAAATATCAATGATTTTTCAATAAATTCTGGATTTTTTTTTGTTATTATGCTTTAATTAAATTTTATCACTCTTAAATTTAAAACAAAAATCCATCTGATTCCAAGTCAAGTTACAGAATGAGCCAATCAACAGACATTAATAAAAATATTGAATGAGGGTGAAAAAAACGTGATACATTAGAAAAATGCATTTTAATTTTGCCTGTTCGTCAGAAATTTTCTAAAAAGACTTTGTTCTGGCAAAGATAATTTTGTGTAAAAAGATCGTTGGTTGAACGTTGTTTGTTTGAAATGCTCAAAAATACTCAAGCATAGTTTTTCGAATATAAAAATAGTTCTTTGAAATGATCAAAGACCATAAGTGGGCAAGCATTGCAACTAAGTGAAAGTTGTTCTCATGCCAATCGGGTTTTTAAAAAATCATTTGCTTTTAAACTAACTTGTGAAAATATTTTGAGTACTGTCTCATCTCTAAATAATATTAAACTAAATTTATATAATAGTAATAGTAACATTATTAGATTGTTCGCATAGCGGATCGTATCACTATGTGATAATATTAAAATGAATGAACCAGGGCGCAAGATTCCCAAAACAATTGTTGCAATTAATTATATTTATTATTTTGAAAAAAAAATATGCAACCATTAATTATTAATGTTTTTCCGAACATTGTTAAATTAATTAAATTATTCATAGTATTTCATTATCAAATATGGATTGTTTAGTGTACAAAATTTAATCAATCAAAATTATGTAATTCTCTTAACACAAAAGCTTACTATTACGAGACTTAGTATTGAAAGACCAGAAAGCAAAGATTTTGGCTATGATAAAGCATTTATTATTTGGAATAAAAAAAACGTAAAAGAAAGTACAATGTAGTCATTATCCCTTAAACGAGAATGATCGGCAACGCATTAAAAACTGGTTTTTTTTGAATTTATTTACTCTCCAAAAAAGTAACCACCTCATTTTTGTTTTTGACGGTTATTTTTTTTTTTTTTGAAATTTTTAAATCTAAATACTTTTTGCGTACGAAATGGTCACAGTCGTTATATAAGTATATATTAATATTAATTGGTTCATAGTAAACCTTGATAACAACTTAAAAAGGTTAACATTGATTGAACATAACATAATTAATTGATTACCCCATCAATGGAATATTTATTAATGTCGTTCGGCTAATTTAATTTTATCAAGATGATCGATCAGATCAATAATAATAAATGAATTTATTTAATTAATTATAAATTGTTTTAATTTTTACAAAAAAGTTTTTTTTTATAATAATAATAATAATAATAATAATAATAATAATAATAATAATAAATTACTAAAGTTACATCAACTGAAGTCAATATCATCAATATTATTATAATAAAATGGCACTTTCCACACCAGCAGCTTATGCTCTATTTTTCATTACAGCTCTATCATTTTTAATTATTGGATTGTATGCTGCATATAAAAATACGAAAAATAAATCCGATTTTTTATCTTCTTTAAGAACTCAAACTGCTGTACCATTGGCACTTAACTGGATAGCTTCAAGTAAGTGTGTTATTAAAAAAAATTTAAGAAAATAAAAAAAGTGGCAGCATCAATATTTGTTTATTTGGTAAGCGAATATTTCATTATTTGTTTTAAAAAAAAAGATAATAAATAATAATAAATTATCCATCATTGGTTTTCTTTTTGCAAAAAAAAAAAAAAATCAATTTAATAAAAAAAAAAGAAAGAGGGAAAAAATGGCACTACAGGTGCTCAATATTGAGCTGAGAATTTACTGTCAATACCTGATCAGGGTAATGCCTGCGTAGGGAAGCTGCCACTTTTTTTAAATATATATATTAAACTATGCTGTATTTTTTTTTTATTGTTGATTAAATATCAATTAATTAAAAAAAAAATTTCTTCTTTAGGTCTTGGATCATCATCGTTGTATGCATATCCAGAGGTAGGAACATTAGCAGGAATATTAGGTGTATTTATGTATGCATTCGGGTCTGTAATTTCATTATTTGTGTTTGCACTTTTTGGACCATACATTCGTAAAAAATGTCCTGAAGGATTCACCATAACAGAATTTGTGTTGAAGAGATTTAGTATCGTCAATCAAATTTATATTTCATTGATGTCATTGGCTATCATGTTGTGTTATATGATTAGTGAGTTGTCAGCCGTTGGTAGTATATTGTTAGAATTGGGAAATTTTGATCCTAAACTTTCAATTATTACGATCGCAGTTGTGACTTGCCTTTACACAAGTAATTATATGATATTTTTTGTTTCTATTGAATTCATCGATTGATTGTTTTTAATTGACTGCGCACATTTACTTATTATTTTAAAGCATATGGAGGACTTCGAGTTTCAATATTTACAGATTTTATACAAGGATCAGTAATTATTATCTTGATTATAATCTCAACAATTGGTTTTGGCACATCAGTGAAAATTGATCAAGAGTTGAAGGACAGTAGTGATTTGCTCAAGTCAAATTCTTTGGGTTGGCAATTACTTTACATCATGCCTGTTGCTGTTTCTTTTGCCAATTTATTTCATCAGGTAAATCTTATATATATATAATTTTGGCTTGGTTAGTCAGTCGGTTTGGTGATTTGGATTGGTGGTTGGATGAATCATATTATTTCATTTAATCTATCGCCTACTCAATCAATTGATATATTCATTCCACTAAAATAACAATCACCCTATCAGCAACCAATTAATTAATCAATCAATCGATTTAATTATAGGGATTTTGGCAAAGGACCTTCTCATCCAAGAATGATAAAGAATTAAAATTATCAGTTTTGTATGGTAGTCTAATCTTATTTCCAGTATTGATCATGATCGGATTCACTGGGATACTGGCAGTATGGGCTGGTACATTGACACCAGAAATACCTGGATATATAGCTTTCTTTACATTGTTTAGTGTTTTGCCTGATTGGGTTGTTGGAATTGTGTTGGTGTTGGTGGTTTGTTTGTGCTGTTCTGCCTACGACACATTGTTGACGGCCATTGTTGCAACGTCTTCAAATGATATATTTCATAATAAGTTACCATTATGGGTAATTAGACTTTTTGCTGCTGCATTTAATATTCCTGCTGGTAAGTAATTATTACAAGTCCTTCTTTGTGTTTTTTCCAAGGTTAAATTAAAAAAAAATTTTAATCAAAACAAAATTATAAATATGTATATAGTTATACTTGGTTTATACAATCTAGACGTTCTAAGAGTGTTCCTAATTGGGGATCTGATAGCAACAGCAACAATGCCACCAATTCTACTTGGAATTTTTGACAAATTTTATTATATCAATTCAATTGATGCAATCGCAGGTGGATTAGGAGGATTTTTGGGGGTTTTTATATTTGGTAGTATTTATTATGGTAATGCAAGTGATGGCGCCAACTTGATAAATTTGCCATTGGGTCTTTATGGCGAAGATTATTCGGTCCTGGGTGCTTTTATTGTTTGTCCGCTTTCCTCTTTATTTTTTACATTTTTGTCATGTGGTGTTCGATTAGGTATTATGATGTTAATTGGAAAAAAACCAATGCGTGATGAATCATCTCATGAACCTTCTGAACAACCTAATGAACAAAGCAAATCACCTCATGAACAACTTGATGAACAAAACAAGCCTCAAGACTCTGACAACATAACTCGCTAGACAAAGAAAACTATTTATAATGGCAAGGATTTGGATTTCCTAAACGAAATTATTAAAAGTTTAATCAAATATTATTAATGATGTATTAACAAATTATATGTTCGTAATATTGTACTAGTATAAATTATTTCGTGGAAAAGTTCAAAAAAGTATAATTTTTAAAATAAAAGACACGTTCTTATTTAGACCATCAGTCTTAAAAGCTTAATTCGTGTTTCGCCGATCATATATATCTATTATAAAAAAACAGTAAAATTGACGAAAATTTGCTCAATTGACTCGCCAAAAAAAAAAAATTTTTTCAAGACTTTTCTTTATTCGGTAGAATAAATCTCAAAGATCTCAAAATATAAAAAAATAATATATTATAACTTTTTGTTTTTCTAACTTTTACATTGGACATCGTCAGATTCCGATATAAAATTGAAACTTTTTTATTTTATTTGCACTAAACATATAGAATATGGGTTTTTATTGCGAAAACCTTTTAAACAATAAATTTTCTGCTAAAACTTGGTTTTTTGATATTTAATATAAATATGTCGGTCATCATCTTTTTATTCTTTTTATTATTATCAAAATCCATTTTTTTATTAAAGCCTTATTTGTATAAATAATATCCATAATATATACTAGAATAAATATAACCTTTTGGGAATAATGTTTTTATGTGTGTGTTGGTATGCGTTATTGTTTTAATTATAGGGAGGCGTGAGATTCCATTTTGAGGGAAAATTTTATAATTAACTTATATCACTAATAATAGATTTCTACACATAATTGGCGAAATACGAATTAAAACATTACTCTAAATAAGAAGATTATTGGTATGTGGAGGGTTGAATAGCGTTTCAATTTCATATATTCCATGGCCTGCACAGAGTCTCCAATTGAAATTCGTGGGATGTTATAGAAAGAAAAGTTCGAGAAAGAAAACCACACCTAGAAATAAAGATGAATTATTTGTTGCATTGAGTAAAATTTGTTCCTAAAGTGAAGAAATTAGTTTATAGTATGTCAATAAGAGAGCTGTTATCGATGATGATGGAAATCCAACTATATACTGACTGGCCTTTGCTAAACATTTCATTAATGTAAAAAAAAATCTAATAAAAACCAATTTTGAATTAAATTAGTCTACACTTGACCATGTTTTTTACTTAGTAGTACAACCACCATTCAACAGAAGTTTGAAGTTTTTTTCTAAGCTCAAAGTTTTCTACTAATTTAAAATTTTCATCCCAAATTTATTAATAATACAAATCAGTGTTTAAAATTGGTCTGTACAAGCTGCAGATATAACTAAAACGTTCTTGCATTTTACTTTTTTTTACAGACATTCTTTTCCCGTTGTTCTTTTTCTGTTATGTTTTTTTTCGCAAGCATTTTTTAATTTCAAGTACTGGTTTGTCAAACTTGCAATGTATATTTTTAACTATTTCCCTTTACTAATCCAGAATAATTAACCAATTTAATTGTTCTCCGTGCACCATGACGGTTTTTTCATCATTGATATGCTGCATTTTTTCAAAAATTTAGCAATTAATGGACCAGATGGTGTGGTTTTGATTGGACATTCAAAGGATAAACGAATTAGCAATTTTTTTGTAATTTTATGTGAATTATTAAAATAAATAAAGTGGCTAGTTTTTGTGTTAGATAAATTATATATTAATGCAAATATGCATTTAAAATAAAAATCTATACGCACAAATATCCATGTATTTTACAAAGAGTGCATAAAGTAATGTTAGGTACTTAGAAACTAGAAGGGTTATTTCGGCTATTCTCTCCATAGTATTATTTAAATTATTAATAAGAATCTTGTATAAATGAAATTTCTCTTTTAAGTTTATTTATTGCTTGATCGTATCATATAACTGTCGTAGAATTTCATCAACACTAACAGGTGAAAATTTTTAACGTTGAAATTTAATTAACCGGATAATCAGCGAATATCATTTGGTGAATAAAACCACTACTTTTAATAATAGCTAGAATGACAACGAGTTGCAATGATTGAAACTACTACCACCATCTTTTTTAAAATAAATAACACTTACTCACAGCCTTGGGCTATCCATTTTCTTTTCTTAATTTTCTTTTTGTTTTAGTGTTATCCATCGCTACAGTCTGCTGATAATCAGCATATGGTCCACAAAATTATGTTGGTTGTTAACAAATTTGCCTGGAAAATCCTCAAGTATCAATCAATAATTTTTTTTGAATTGATCGGCAAGATATAACATGCTCAATTGAATTAGTTTATTCTTATATTAAATAAGGAACTACATAAAGAATGTATATAAAGATCCAAGTTTTATCAAGTAAAATGGATAAGGATTATAAGCTAAAATGCTCTTCACAATGTGATCTTAAAATAATTTCAAAAATAACTTACATTCGAAACCCAATTTAACAAAGTTATCACATGTGATATCCATTTTTTTCGGATATCGGATATCGGATAAGTGAATTAATCAGAGCAGACTCCAGATTTGCATTTCTTGCATAGTGAAGTCTTTCATTTTTTTACATGAACATTGAGATTTATATTATTCGATAATCATGTGGCACAAAAAGTACAATGGACAATTAGTGATTTAGAAAGGTTGTATTCTATGTGTCGCAGGATGATGTAACTTTTATATATGAATAAAGTTAAGCTTAACGATTTGTGACAGTTTGCTTTATAGAAACGCGGCGGTTAATATTATGAATGTGAAGTACATTTGCATATTTTTTTTGTAAAGACATATTTATTTATTAAGTAGAATATAAAAAAAATTTTTAAGAAAATGAAGATCAAAAGAATAATTAATATATACTAATGATGATGCTCTTATCAATCGTTCAATTTCAGAAGACAACTTCCTGGTCCTAAAGTAACATTATGATCTCCATAGATATCTAACAAGTGTCTAATCAAGTAAGTAGCATTACTAGAAACCAAAAATTCGAATCGCCTGGTTTTGTCCTTTGTAACTTTCTGAGCCAAGTCGAATCCTTTAAAAAATGATTTTAATTTTTCATCGCTAGTAAGAAGCTGGGGCTTCATTTCAAAAATCACTTTCGTAGGTAAAGTTTCGTTAGATTTCTCAGTAGCAGTTGTATCATCATTACAGTCATCAGTAATGGAAACATAATCTTCCAATTCTGCCAACCCCTCAGGATTTGATTTCAATATAACTAGTAATGCTTTAGCAATTGCGCTAGAAAATATACTACCACCTAAACCAGCAGCAATAAACCCTCCTACACCTAAACCAGCGGCACCAATCGATTGTAAAATCGCCACAAGACTACCAGCAGCTACAGTTCCACGATGTAATGACATAAGCCATGCTGCAATAGATCCAGCTGCAATACCGGCTTCTCCAAACCCTAATGCTCCCACTACTCCACTAATTACAACAGGACCCAGAGCAAAACCAGCAATCGTTGCAGTGGTTGTAATCAAAATCGTTTTATGTTTTATAAAAAAATTTTTTGCACTTTCGCTGGCGTTTTCTTGTGGTGGAGGTGGCTGTGGTGGTGGGTTTATAAACCCATCCCTCATGAAAGCATCAAGAATTATGCCTTTAAAAATGTTTGCAATTGGAATGTCAGATAAACTTGCCATTTTCTTTGTTAAAAAAATTTTTTTTCTTTAAAAAAAGAACAATTAAGTGCCGATTCATTACTTTGGATTTATATTAGGTCGCTTATGATTATAAATTCCTGTGTAGATTATTTGCCAAATAATGATGTAATGTTACACATAAAAATTAATACTTTCTCACACACGATATATATATATATATATATATAGGACACTTGCAGATCATCGGAAATAATTGAATAAAGAAACATTTTTTTATTATCCTAACCACATTTGCTTATTAAGTAAAAATTCATCTTCATATCAAATAGCATAATATACTAAAGTTTCGCCGCATATAAATAAACATTCATTGTTTTACGAACCTTAAAAAAAATAAAAATGAATTTTTCGGAATTTTAAAAAAAACTTCGCCTCGAAAATTGACTACAATGGCAAGTTTTAACGACCTTTGTGGTACAAGTAAAAATGCGTCTTATGTTACTCTAAAATTCTAGATCAAAGATGTCATACGGTGCATATCATCTATAATCATTAATTGCTTATAGTAACAATTGGTCAACTTCAAAATACTAAAACAAAAAAAATTATATCATTTTAAAAAATTTAACCGATAAGTTTTATTGTTCATGACTCAAACTTCAAAACTTATCGGCTGGTTTTTTCTTAAACTGAAAATTGGCAGAGCCTTAGCATTTTAAAAATTCCGAATTTTGTTATACATTTAAGAAATTGAGACCAAGTAAATTTCGTGTAACAAAATTTTTTTCATAGAATATTTTTTACAACATACATTTGATTTTTTATTCCCTTTTTTTTATTAATAAATAAAAGTCTTTACAGCAAAAAAGTTTAACGAACATATTACATTAAAAGAAAATCATTACCAAATTTGGTCGTGAGATTCAAAAAATTGTAACGCAAAAATTATAAAATCTATGAAAAGAAAATTTGACAAATTTTTTTTTTAAATTAATAGACTCCCCTTTTAAAGCTGAATTGAATGGTTGGTTTTTTTAAAATCCAATATGTGGATCACATAATATTTCAAAAATTTTAACTTTTGAGTATAGATGATCTGCACTGTATACAAAAACCACAAGGACAACAACACCTGAATTTTTTTTTTTACAGACTGATCGGCTATGTACAAAATTCTCAAACGAGTTAATTTTGAAGATATTTTAAAAAAAATCCAAATTAGATGATTCATTTAAAGTAAACTTTAACCATTTTATTTTTTTCAAAGAGAACTTTTAATGCCCAAAGCTACTCAATTATCTGAATTCGAACATGGAGAAATAGTTGACTTAAAAAAAGCCAATTTTTCTTAGAGAAATAGCTCATATATTAAATGACTATTTTTCAAAAAATAAAACAACTGCAAGCTCTTAGACCT